CGTACGGCACAGCGTACGGCACAGCGTACGGCACAGCGTACGGCACATTATACACCCGTCAAACTAATTTTATATATAGCAATGGCCCAGACAAGCAAAAACCTTGGACAGCATTTGACCTTGATTTGTGACCTTGGCCTTAGAGCTGGGGTGGGTGATGAAATATTAAGCAAAACTCCATCTAGTGATGATGCAGATATGCATCAAGTTTAGTCAAGTTATCATGAGCGGTTCAGAAGTTATGGGCGGGACAAGAAAAATTTATGGACGTAGGTATGTTGACAGACGGAGACCGTGCCATAACACGTCCACTTTTTGACGGACGTATAAGAACTGATCGAACCAAACTGAGATGGTTTTGTTTAACAGCCATTTTTCACTTAAGTTGTGCAATGAATCCTTCCCTCCCTTCCTCCTCTCAGTTGGCCACTTCTCACCTGAAGACGTCCCATAGTCGTCCTGATCTCCTTCGTGTCCCCCACAGTGACGATATTAGACTTGAGCATTTGGGTGATCAGGAGAAGCCAGTCATTTAGTTCGGTGGCGGTTTGGTTGAGGTCAGTGGGCGCCACGGAGTCGGGTGAGTGAGGGGTTCGGTGGTGGGGGTTCTCACTCGCCATGCTGGCCATCTGGATGGCGGAGGGCACCGCAGACACTGAAGCAGGGATGGAGGAAAAAAGACCAAATTTATGCTTGTAATAATGACAAAGAGGCTGCTTTAAAAAGAAATGATTAAAGGAACATTTATAATGGTAGAACGGAGACTCCCGGAGGAAAGCAACATTACAATAAATCAGGATCAATGGGGCATCAAAGATTGTTTCAGTGTTGCTCCTAGTTTTTTACCATTCAACGCTTGTTCTCAATAAAACCGAGAAACTGCAAACATGTGCCTGAGTCTGAGATCCTATAAATACTTAAAAAGGGGCAAGTTTGTGTCCTGTCAAGAACCTACAACAAAATGTACTCAACTTTGCCTTTATAACGTCATATTTTGTGGTTTTTAAAGAGGGACTGTATAAAGTACTTATGAGTAGTCAGTGTCCTACCTGCAACAGACAATGGTCAGGACCGAGAGAACTACTCCGCATCCAAAACAACTCAAACCCCAAAGAAAGCTGTTCAAGCTCTCACAACATGCAACCTTCTCAACAAACACGGTCGATGAAACACGGTCGGTTTTGCAACTTTGTGCTGAATACAAAAACAAAATATGTTCCCACAAAGAAGCTCTTAAGTGTAAACAATCATCTGATGCAAATCAATAAAAACATCCACAAGAAAACATTAAAACGTTGGAGGTTTGACATATTTCAAGTAGTTTTAAATTAACGTTTCCTAAGACCTTGTTGCGATTAACTTTGTTTTCTGTTTACAAATCCTCCGTGAGTCTCCAGACAGGGAGCACTCTGACCAGGTAAGACTACGACTATTTAAAAGTACTTTACACAACCTCACCAACATAAAACAAAAGTCATGATTTTAAAGTAAATTCAACAGGAAAACATTTTGAGATGATCCCACCCTTTACTGTCAGGAGACGGGTGGGGTCATCACTTTACAAAAGGGTTCTATAACTTTTGGTATCAGTGCAACTTTAGCTTTTTGAAATATTTAGCCTTTTCTGCCACTTTTTCTCTCATAGAAAATGAATTGAGCTCATTTTACATCCTTCATATCTTTAAATCTGTTTACAACCTTTTACTGCTCCTTTCACATTTTGTTCTGGTTCAGCTTCTTTCAGCTTCCTTGTGCAAATTTTTAAAAAATGTTCAGCTACTTTCAGCTACTGGTAATTTCAGCTGTTTTATACTCCGTTCAGATTCATTCTGCTAACTACAACATTTTTGTGCTTCTTCTAAATTCTTTCTGCTAATTTCAGCTTGTTATGCTGCTTCTAGCTTATTTCTGCAAGTTTCAGCATTTTCTGCTATTTCAGCTACTATTTAACTGTTTTAATGCTAATTTTATTTTTTCAGCTAATTCCACATTTTTTTGCACTCATTTCAACTTTTTTCAACCTAATTCAGCACAAAAAAGTGCTCTCTCAAGTTCCTTCTTGTACCTTCAGCTTCTGATTTTTTTAGCTACTTTTCATCAATTTTTTGCTAATTTCAGCTTTTTTTCTGATAATTTCCACTTTTTGTGCTCATTTCTGCTTCTTTCAGTCTAATTGGGTAAAATGGTGCTCTCTTTACTTACTTTTGCCAACTTAAGCTTGTTCTTCATTTCAGCTAACTTTTTAGAATTTTTAGCTAATTTCAGCTGTTTTCAGATAAATTCAAATTTTTCATGTTAATTTTAGCTACTTTCAACCTAAATAACTTATTTCTGCTAGTTTCAGCTTTTTCTGCTATTTTAGCTACAACTTAGCTGTTTTTGTGCTAAATTTAGCTTTTCTAGCTTATTCCACATTTTTAGCTCATTTCATTTCCTTCCACTTCTTTCTAATAGTTTAAGCTTCTTTCTGCCTTTTCAGCTACTTTTTTTGTTGCTAATTTCAGCTTTTTAAACTAATTTCCTAATTGTATTGCTTATTTCTGTTTATTTAAACATAATTCAGCAAATGTGTGTTCTTTCTGCTTTCTTCTACCAACTTCAGCTTGTTCTTCCATTTCAGCTACATTTCAGCAAGTTTTTAGCTAACTTCAGCTGTTTTTAATAAATTTCTTCAGCAATAAGCATTCACACTGCATTTATGCAGGAAATGCAATGTCTCTAGCATGCTACTGTTTTGAGCCAGCATAACTGGGTGCTCCTCTGGGATTTGAACATAAAACGTCTCTTAATAAGTTTGTTAGCATCACAGCCTCTTTGTTCTCCTGATCGACTGTAAACACAGAACTGTGATAAATACATGGTGGATAAAAATAAGTGCATTTATAATAAATATAATTATATAATATAGTAGTTTTTTTACACAGCTGCTGGTGTTGGACATGCTGGTGATGTGTCCATGGAGAGACAGGTGCCTGAAGAGACTCCTTCAGTCGGCCATCCAGGACTTTCCAGTCAGTAGCCAGCTGCTCTACCTTCCCCTTTACACATGAACAAGCACATTTACATTTAATTAATGACTTGGCACAAAACATTTTGCACAAGAAACAGAGGGCATCAAGATTTCTAAAAGAAAATAGCCCATTACATTTTCTATAAAACAGCCAGTTAAACTACAATAACTTACAAGACACCAAATAACCCCAGGTGAAGTAGTGACGCTTTGAACATTCAATACAGTAATTAAATGCAATATGTGCTTTATTGAATTTTATTACTTTGGAATCTGGTACCTTTTCCTGAGGCAACAGCTGCTGTCGTTTCTGCAGCTCTATAGAATGAGCCAACAGGTCCTCCAGGTCCTTCTTCCTGTCTTTCATAGAGGCCTCCAGAGCCTAGTCAAGGTTCGAAAAGGGATTCAGGTGAAGCATTTGTGCAAATGATATATGGATTTTCAAGTGTGGTACACGTGGAAAGGATTTCAGGCAGTGTACCAATGCTTGGCAAGAATTCAGGCCTCGGGTCATGATTGTCTGGTTTGTGTCGACGACCCAGTCCGTCAGCTTGTTCATCCTGTCCTGGAACAGAGCGTGACTTGGCAGATTGGTCTCCACCTCCCCTACTTTGTCCAGCAACTCATGAGTTACCTGCAAAAGAATTAAAAAAAAAAATATATATATATATACATATATGTGTGTATATACATAAAGAATTAAAAGTATTGGAGGCTTCAGGAAACAGAAAACAACTTAATGAAGATAGAAACAGAGCCAACTATCAAACCCATAATATGCCAATTCAGAGGTTGAAAGGTGACCTTGAGCGTGGCATTTATTCAACTTTACCTTGCTCCACTTGAGGTTGATGGTTCTCAGTTTGCCAACATGCTGATCTCTGCTCTGAGGGCTCACACTGGGACTGGCCAAGATCTGTGGAGCGTGTTTGTTCAGCCAACCAAGCCGCTCGTTCTGAGCATCCATTTCCCCAGCAAGGGCCTACAAAGACAGGTGCAGTGACCCTTAATTTCACTAAGAATCACAAGCAGGTGGAAAAATAAAACTTAAGCTGATGACAGTGAAACAAGAAAACTAAATTGTGTGCTGTTTAACACCAATCACGACTTTTCTCAACACGTTTCCCTGTAAAAAATGTTAATTTTTTCGGAGAGAATCAAGAAAATAGACCATTTATTTAACAAAACTTCAACGTTTTTGTTAAAACTGAGCCACTTGTGCCTCATGTTTTGGTTTTTCTCTGTACCTTGAGCTCTTTGAGGTCGTTGTCAGTGGCAGAGACGGGCAGGAAGCTCACAGCATTTTCTGCCCGTTCCAGCCACACAGTCAGCTCCTCACGTCTCCTCGCCAGGTCAAACAGAGCTGGATCCTCTCCAGTTAACCTACACACACACGCACACACACAAAATGCCCTCAGATTAGAATCTACATTTGCTGGAGGTTACAGGACTAATCCCAAAATTTAAATTGCTGTTGCAGGCAGATTGAAAACTTGATCAAGTTGACCTGCAGACTGACAAACAGCCAGGTGATAACATCTTTACACTATCTGTACTTTAAAACCAGGAAGTTAAGACAGACACATTTTAAAACCTAAACACCAACAACTGCATCCTTTTAATCCTTCACCTAATATTTTTGTGAGTACCTGCGTTGCCTGTCCAAGACTTGACGGTTTACTGTCCTCCAACGCTGACTCAGAATATCCAACTTCTCCTCAAGCAGGGGCCTGTCAGGAGATGAAAGCTTTCCAATTATCTGCTCCCCGGTGCGAGTCAGTCCAGCAAGAACTGGCTGATGACTGGCGAGGCCTTCTTCCAACTCCTAAAACAAAACGAATTAAAAGGTCAGAAACAAAAACTGTGAAAACGAGGCTCAGTCAAACTGAATAAACGTATTCGATCTAGCCCAGCTAGTGTTTTATCCCCAGCTCATGCGTTTTATCTCAAAGCAAACGTCTTCAACGCGAGGATGATTTGTAGCAGGTCCAGATTTAAGCTGCTAAATCTCTACCTTCCTCCACGAGAGATTTAAGACGAACCTATAAAGGTGAGTGATCGCAGAGTGTGCAAAATGGATGAGTCAGCTAATAGATCTGTCAATTCCCCTCCACTTGATACCTCATCCCATTCTCAGCAACTGTGAAAACATTTGAAGAAGCCATGCAGATGGAGTGTGGCTCCAGGTTAGCTTATAAAAGGTGTTAAGGGCGGTGGTGTTGTCAGTGATAATGCAGCAGCTTTAGGGGATTTAAAACCTCGGGGAAATGAAATGCCACTTTAGTCGTCAAACAGAGCAAAATTACAGGACTCTCTTTGTTGTACTCTTGACTCGTCTCCGTGTCTGCTCTGCATAATAAACAGATTTATAGTGCATTTGTGGCACACGGTGTAGAAACTGTTGTTTCCGCTGGGAATTAAAATGCAATTATAAAGTTTCTAACACAACCAATTACCTCAAAGTTTTTATATTAAACATATTTCAGTATGTTGGGGTTTTTATAATCTTGTTTCTATTCTAATGCATTTATCACGTCTAGGTTGGACTATTGAAATGACTTGTTATCTGTGAGTCCAAAAACCTCTTTAAAAAGTCTTCAGTTGATCCAAAATGCTGCTGCCAGACACTTAATGGGAGTTAGTAGGAGAGATCACATCTCTCCAGTTTCAGCTTCTCTCCATTGGCTCCCTGTCAAATTCAGACTTGAATTCAAAATCTTACTTCTAACCTACAAAGCCCTCAACAACCTAACTCCATCTTATATTACAGGTCTTGTTGTTGCATATTTTCCTAACAGAGCTCTTTGCTCAGACTGCAGGTTTACTTGTGGTTCCTAGCGTTTCTAAAAGCAGAATGGGAGGAAGATCTTTCAGTTATCAGCCTCCTCTCTTGTGGAACCAACTTCCAGTTTCTGTCCGTGAGGCTGACCATTGTCCAGTTTGAAGACTTTTCTTTTTGATAAATCCTATAGTTAGCTGGCTTGGTTTCTTGACCTATTCCTTGTCCTATGCTGCTATAACCTTAAGACTACTGGAGGACAAATTGATCTCATTTAATCAAATGAACAGTTACAAATGCATACGAATTAATAGTTTGTATTTGTAATTATTCTTTCTTAACATGTGATATCCGTCTTTCCTCCTAAAGAAAACCTGATGTCCTCCATCCTGGACCTGCCATTGTGTATTTGTTTTCTCCTTCCTGTCCTCTCAAACCCAGCCCGTTGAAGCAGATGGCCGCTTGTCCTGAGCTTGGTTCTGAGGGAGTTTTTCCTTTCCACTGTTGATTTTGTGCTTGCTTAGGGTGGGAGACTGTGATGAAGTTAAACTCAAAGCAGTCTGTTGGCTTCTTAGATAATGTTATTAACTGACTTTTTATGTATGCGAGTGTTTCTGTTCAGTGCCTGAGACGACTTCTCTTGTGATTTGGTGCTATATAAACAAACTGAACTGAACTGAAATTACTTTGAATTTATAAATGTACGTTGATGTGTATTTTCATGTATTGCATTTGTGACCTAAAAATTAAGAAGTAAGCAAAGATGCTTATTCTGTCTCTGGAAATTTATCTGTAACGTTTCCCTGTACAGAAATCAGACCAGCTGCCGCCTCCACTGACCTCTTGGTGCTGCCGTGCAGATTCCAGGTCGAGCTGTCCGTCAGGACCAACACTTTCAGACAGCAGCGCCTCTGTGTCCGTAAGCCACTGAGAAATATCCTTCAAGTCACAGTGAAACCGCCCCCACTCCTCTATGGCACGGTCAAAAGTCCTGCAGCACAGGGAGACAAAATGAGAACGTCACCAAGTCTGTCAATCCTAATATCCCAACATCTGTTGGGCTTTTGGGCACCAAAAGACAAAAAGATTCTGTTTTGTTGTCGTTTTATTTTTCTATAATTTCAATAGGTATTATGCCGAGTAACAATAAGTCCACAGTGTTGAGGCTACAAGGTGCAGGACTTCACGTACTTAGGGTTGCCTGTCCAGGAAAATGGAGAATGTGGTAAAGAGGTGAAAAAATAGTCCAGGCAGGATGGAGTGAATGGAGAAAAGTTTCAGCAGAGATTTGCGATAAAACAATGTCAGCAAAGGTCAAAAGAAAAGTTTAAAAGACAGTAGTGAGACCAGCTATGTTGTGTGGTCTGGAGACAGTGGCATTGACAAAAAGACAGGAGACAGAACTGGAAGTAGCAGAAATGAAGATGTTGAGGTTCTCCTTAGGAGTGACACGGATGGATAAGATTAGGAATGAGATCATCAGAGGTACAGCACAGGTTGAACAACTGGGAGATAAAGTTAGAGAGGACAGACTGAGATGGTTTGGACATGTCCAGAGGAGGGACAGTGGGTATACTGGTAGAAGGATGTTAGAAATGCAAGAAAAAGAAAAGGACGAAGAAGAAGAAGCAGCTAAACAACATGATCTAAACCTTTTTTTTTGACTCAAAGAATTAGCATCAACCATCTTCAACTTTACCTGATTTAAGTTCAGCTGACTCATTACAGTTTCCACTGAAATTTTTTGATTTTCTACTGATTTATGAGTTTAATATAACATTTCAATGAGGAAAACCTTTACAAAATGCAGGTGAACAAATAAAATCTGTAACAAGTAATTATCAAAGTGACAATAATAAATTACTTCAGATAATTTTATTTTATTTTGATAAAGCAAAAAGTATATACCAATAGTTAGCATAAAATTGTCTTTACTTGAAGTTTAAATTCATTATAAGGAAAGTCAATTTGAAATATTAAGTATAGGGTTTCATAAAGATGAAAATGAGCTGTTTTTAATTTAATTTTAACAATTAAATCCACTTTTTGATCTTATTTTACTACTTTCGTGAATGTCTGTTGGTTTATGTTTGATTTATAAATTAAATTAAGTTTGTAAAAGAATCTGCTCATGATTTAAATAGTTAAAATTTATAGAATAGTGATAAGGAAACAAAACATTTGGACCTCATTAAAAATAATTACAACAATCAGTAAGTCCCGACAACACAATAAAGGTCACAGGGCTGCAGCTGAATAAAGAAAAATACGAAGAGGCTGATTACTTACCGGTAAATATGTATTACCAAAAATAAATACATTTACATTAAACTGGTCATATTGCAGCTTCCATTTTTTATTACATCTGGTTGAGATAATTATTTCAGATGAGCAACTTACCAAATAAATAGGCTTTTTTTATATTTTATTATATTGATGCTAAGAGGTTGTGAACACAACCTTCAGCATCTGTATGCAAACTGAAGACTTCCTCGCCAGTTTACTCTCATATTTGTTCTAATAAAGAACTCTCATGCTCATGTCCAACAAATTGTGTTGATGATGGCCAGTGTCACCGTCTGTGACTTTACGTTGGAGAATGAATATGTGAGCAGGCATGGGATTGTTAATGCCTAAGGAATTACTCCGACATTAACCAAGGTCGGCGAGTGCGTTTCATCCTATCTGCTGTCTCCTGAGAAATGGACAGCTGGCGTTCCCTGCCCCTGCAGCTTCAAACAAACACCCTGACTCACATATTCATTTGAATACTGTATTTTTCGGACTATAAGGCGCACTTAAAATCCTTTAATTTTCTCAAAAATTGACAGTGAGCCTTATAATCAGGTGCGCCTTATGTATTAATTCTGGTTGGGCTTACTGACCTCGAACTGATTTTATGTTGTGAATGAGTTGAATAAAGTTTGACTTATCTGGCTGTTTTGTTTCACTTAATGCGCCTTATAATCCGGTGCGCCTTATCGTCTGAAAAATATGGTACCGTATTTTCTGCCGTACAAGTCGCACTGCCCTATAAATCGCATCAGTCCAAATATGGCTACTAAAGTAGAAAAATCCATAAATGCGTCACTTCATCGTATACGTCGCTTCTATTATGTGTCACCGCTGACATGTTGCATTTGTTACGTGTCACAGCTGACAACCCGTAAATGTGGGCCGAACGCAGAAATGTGGGCCGGTGTTGTGCCAAAAATCGATTGGCTGCCAAATGGCGGCTGCGGGAGCATGCATGGGAGGACTTTAACAAGATGAACACTTAAAAACAATTATTTGTTTGCTCAGAATTATAGTAAAGGTGTATCTCAGTCTAACTTTTCCTTAATAAATGCACTTTGACGGTCAAATCTGCCGATACGCGAAAGTAGGCGCATGCACGAGAAGACTCGCTGTGCATTTCTTCGAAATTTAACAAGATAACATCTAAAAAGAATTATTTGTTTGCTCGAAATTATAGTAAAGGTGTGTCTCAGTTTAACTTTTCCTTAATAAATGCACTTTTGACGGTCAAATCAGTTGCATTTCTAAAGTATTAGCTGCCCCTGTGCTCCGGGAGCACGCTCTGAGAGAGGAAATCAGGAAGGAGGAACGCTATGCATTTCTTTGAACTTTAACAAGATAAGCACCTAAAGCAATTATTGGTTTGCTCGACATTATAGCAAAGGTGTGTCTAAGTTGAACTTTTACTTAATAAATGCATTTCAAAGGTAAATGGTAAATGAACTGTACTTATATAGCGCCTTTCTATCTTATTTCAAGATACTCAAAGCACTTTACATCACAATCTGTGTCCTCATTTACCCATTCATACAGCACTCTACTAGATTTCTACAAAGCTAATTGAACAAATCATTCTAATGAGACTAATCAGTGGTCAAATTAACTGCATTTTACCGGAGCAGCGCAGCGAAATGCAGGTAATTTGACGGTTGCACCAGGCGAGCTGGACGAAGGTGGCAGGTTATGGTAAGCCGACTGTGTCATTAATAGCCACTTTTACCTATTACATGATACAACAGCATGCCATACTATTCTGCTGCCATCTAGCAGCTTAAAATGGTAGTGTTTAATATTTTCAGTCAGAATGAATGAAAACGGTCATATCTCAGCCAAAAATTGGTTTATAAATACGGGAAAAAAAATTCATAAATATGTCGCTTCGGCGTACAAGTCGCAGGGCATGCAAATTATGCAAACAAACGTGACCTATAGGCCAAAAAATAAGATACATAATCTGGAAATAACAGCTTGCTTGACTGAACACCCTACATCGGAGTCTAGACGTGTAGTTCACACACCCTTTGCGCTGATTGTACATGCGGTTTAGGCGGTCCCACTCGGCGTTGAGTTGTGTGAGGGCGTCTCCCATTTGGGCCACTTCATCGGGGGAAGCATCTCTGATGGCTTCGGGCTGGCGCTCGTGAATCCCTGTGACCTGCTCACCCAACTGCTCCAGACTCTCTTTGATATTCTGTTCACGAAAACAAAACAAAAACAAAAAAAAAGGGGTAAACTTTTGATGCAGCAGCAAAGTTATTTCATACGAGCTTTTTTAAATAATTCCACTCACTTCAGAGGTTAAAATATTTGACATGAAATCTTAATGTCCTCCAAAAATATACAATAAACTTAACCCTTCTGCTTAACTCAAGGCTTCAGCAGTCATTTTAACCCAAGGGCAGCAGGAGAGTTAAAACATTCTCAAATTGGCTTATTTCTAAAATAAACATATACAACAGACTTTTTTAAATCTTATTTTACATTTTTAAAAGTTGCTATAAAAAGCAAACGTCAAATATAATTTCCACGGTGTGTCTAACAAAAACAATTTGTGATTTAGCGAGCGGCTTGTAGTAAACAGTCCCACCTTCAGTGTGTCCTCCTGGCTAGAAAAGTCTTCGTAAAGGCCTCCGCTGAGCTCTGAGGAGTTCAGGAGCAGCTCGTTGTCGGCCATGGTGAGCAGAACTTTGTTGATATCCAACACGTAGTCAGAGGGGGACACTGACAGAGAGCTGCTGCGAACAGCTGGAGACATCTACATCACAGAGGAGAAAAAGTCTCATCCAAGTTAGAGCGCTCCTAAAGAGTTTTATAATTGCCATGTAACTTGTAACCATGTAACACACACCAAAAAAAAAAAAAAAATACAAAATGTAAACTAATATCTGACAAAGAGTATAAAATGCCGTTCTCAGACAAACCAGAAACTTAAAAATATATATTCTAGCAGAGGAAGTGGCAGAGGCTAATCAGTCTGCTGGATTAGAATCATAGCTCAATTGTTTGGCCAAGATGAGATAAGTGTAAGCTTGCTAAAAGTGCTCTTCTATTGGACATGGAGGTCACGAAGAGGTTGCGAGATAATGATCAGCAGCTTGTGCAGCATCCTCGTTTGCAAAACCAAAGCAGCAGAAGGCCGGATGAATCCTTACTAAGCATTGTTTGCTCTGGTGCAGCTCTCTTAGACTGTGGCCGACACTGTTGCACTTGTTCCAACATTTGAGCTTTGTTGCATAAAACAAACACATTTCTTCTTTGAGTACCGTACTTGCCGCCGTACATAACGCAACGCCGTATAAGTTGCATCAGTCCAAATATGTCTAATAAAGTGGAAAAAAACAAATACTTCGCCGTATATGTCACATCTATTAAGCTTCACCGCTGCTGACCACCTGGAAACGTGGGCCGGTGTTGTGCCAAAAATCGACTGGCTGCCAAATGGCGGCCGAGGGAGCATGCACGGGAGGACTTTAACAAGAATTTAACAAGATTAACACTTCAAACCAATTATTTGTTTGCTCAAATTTATGGTATAGCGAAGGTGTGCCTCAGTCTAACTTTTCCTTAATAAATGCACTTTATTGGTGAAATCAAACTGCATTTCAAAAATCAATTTGCGGAAGCGCGCAGAGGGACGACTCGCTGTGCGTGTTGTCAAAATTTAACAAGATAACTGCCTAAAAACAATTATTTATTTGCTTGACATTAGAGTAAACGTGTGTCTCATGTGAACTTTTCCTTAATAAATGCACTTTAATGGTCAAATCAGCTGTATTTCACCTGGGCGGCGCGGCGAAGTTGGCTCTGTATGGCAAGCAAAGTGTCTCGTTAATAGCCACTTTTACATATTAATGAGACACTTGGTTTGCCATATCAGTTGAGGGCCCTCTAGTGGCTGAAAAATGGTAGTGTTCAATATTTTCCTTGTCAGAATGAATGAAATCATTAGATCTCAGCCAAAAATTGGGTTATAAATAAGTTGCAGGACTTGCAAATTTATGCAAAAAGGTGCGACTTATACGATGAATAATACGGTATTTATCTGCTGCTTCTTTAGTCAGACTTCGTGCTGTATTTTCAGTTCGGTCCTCAGGAATTTAAGTATTTTTTACTTAAAAAACACTTATAGGAGCAGCACATGTAAGAGTCATGTCATTTACCTCGCCTGAAAACTCTGTTTGCTCCCTGAAACTGTGAAAAGACGACGACTCTCCAGAGACTGTAAACTGTCTCACTTTTAGCCGGTCCTGAAACAAAAAGACATGCACACTTGTCAGGGCACAACCAGAGTTTAAACCATTTAAACGTTTTAAAACACTGTGCAAACTTCCACTATGATGTTTAAAGACGGAACACTTTCTGTATCTCACCCTGCGAGCTGAATACTGCCTCTGCAACCGCAGCAGCATCAACCTCAACTCTTCCCTTTGGCCCTCGTCTGATGTCTGCTGCAGCAGTTCTTCTCCCCTTCGCAACATGTCTTCGATGCCGGCCGTCTCCTCATCCATCTGGTGCAGAGCGAGACAGAGGAGGAGGTCACTTTAGGAATTCAAGACCTTTCCAACGCAGAGCCTTTTTTGAGCCAGATGTTTGGTAGTAAATAAATCTGAAATCTTTCCAAACAGCTAACAAAGGATACATACAGGCAGCAGATATCTTGCAGAATTTCTTTTTGTTTAAAACACAAAGAGCTTCCAGGCTGGCACAATGACCTTGTTTTGGATCGGTCTGTTTACTTTCAGCTGGTGTGTTTAACGTCATAAAACTTTGATAGCAGACTGAATTCCAAACTTGTTAGACCTTGAAACACCCAATTCAAGCTCACCTCAACAGGTAGCAGCTCTGCTGTATATAGACTGGAGCTCAGTTTATTTTTTTATAAAACCTAATAAATCTCCTAAAATAAAATAACACGAGTCAACATTCTTTGTTTGTGCTCAAATTCCACAAGAAAATTGGTAGAAAATAAAAACATCCAACTGGACGAGAGGAATAAATTCTCCTCCTTCTATTCACATTTTCCAAAAATTTGCAGTTTCTAAAATGGTTTTGATTAAAAGGTAACCCTGAGTACCTTGTCATCCTCCAGGATGTTTACTGGGTCCTGCTGCTGCTGCAGAGCTCTCAGCGTGCTCTGCAGCTCTGTCTGAAGGTCCTTTATCTCTGCTGGGAACGCAGCTTGAACAGGGTGAGTCGGACTTTGTGCTCGGTTCCCCTGACCGTCGGTGACCTGATTAAAAAGAACAAAAACAAACCTCAGCAAACTCAATCAGACCTTCACTCATAAGTCTAATTATCCACATCTGCTCTCATAAAGAGCTCAGATGTAATCAAAGTCCAAGAAAATTGGGTTTTGCTGTATTAGGAAATATTTTTATTCGTTTTACAAGTTGCTGGTGATTGGTTCTAGTTGGTCCATTGTTAGGCAGTTTGTAGTAGTACACATTTTAACTGGACATATTACCAGTGCAGCTTGTACTAAGAAAAGTTTCTAGTACCATCTGATGTGTCTGCAGATTCATCTCAACTTCTCCTAACTCCAGACTGGTCGTCAGCTGAAAAAAAAAAAAAGAAACAGACTGCTTTCAAGTTTCTGCATCAAAACCAGAATCAAACTGCACCCAGTGAGGAAAAGTAAAATAAGTTAACCTATTTGGTGTATTTATTTAGTTTACCTGGGTAGTTTTTATGTGCTGGGAAACATTGTCAAAGTTGCAGTTGAGCTCAGCTAATTTGGGCTCCACAACCTCTCGACAAGAGGGCCCCCTGCTGGTCATCAGGATGACAGCTTGGTCCCTTACGTTGTCCACACGGAGACTCATGTCCTCCAGCTCTTCTAACATGCTCTAAAATGAACAAAAAAACACAAAAACAGCTGATGTTAAAAGCAACAATGACAATAATACGTTTTATTTATAGGTTCCTTTTTTTTAAATACTCAAGATCTTATTATATATAATCGAAAAAAACAAAGTATACAGAAATTAAGGAATACGTTAATAAAACAGAATATCAAAACAACAAAAGATGAAAATCTGAACAGGTGTGTTTTCAGACAGGATTTAAAATGGAGAGAAAGAGTCGAAGGAGGAATGTAATTCCAAAGGCAGCGGAGCAGACTGGCTAAAATTCAATTCAATTCAATTCAATTCAAAAATACTTTTTTAATCCCAGAGGGAAATTAAATATTGTTGTACATCATCATCCTGGTTTCATTAAAGAGTTGTTATAGATGCTGATGGCTGTGGGCAGGAAGGATCTCTTGTCTGTCTTACAGCGGATCTGAAGAAGCCTCTGAATGAAGACACTCTGTTGTTGTATGACAGTCTGATGAAGAGGATGCTGAGGGTTGTCTATAATGTGCTTCATTTTATGAAGAAGAATTTTATGAAGAATGAAAGCTCAGCCCAGGTCTTGCTCGTGGTTCAAAGCGAACTGATCTGAGGTGACGATTCTGACGTAAGCACACAGCAGCCATTGATTGGACAGCGGAGCTACATTAATGGATGACACGCCCAGTTAGTTTTGAACGCTCTAAGAACAGTGCCGTGGACCGGTGACAAAGTTCAGACCTTTCTGTCTTTATTGGCTGATCTGAGGATTAAGCGTGAGCTGGACAGAGCTACAAGAAACGAGCAAATTTACAGCGAGATAGCAGAGATGATGCACAGGATGGCTACACCTGGACTTGTAAGCAAAGCCAGGATAAGCTAAAAAAAATTAAATAAAATTACAGTTACGATGCCTGCTCACTTTGCATAGACAATCCCGCCCACAGATTGGGAAACAAGTCACAGCAGCAAATCACCAACACATGAGAACCAATAAGATGAGAACCGACTCGAGTCACACTTACAGTATCAATGGCAAAGTGGCTTAAGACTAATGACTAATGGAAGATGAAAACCTATGAATACAAGTGTGTGTGAAGTGTAAAAGCTCAGGAAGATATTGAGGAGTGAGATTATGAACTACCTTGAAAGTGACAGGCAGGATTTTAGAGTCCAAGTGAAATTTAACAGGAAACTGAATGAAGCTGCTGAATAAGGAAAAGAACAGAGCTGAGCGTAAACTGATCAAAGTGAGCTGATGTCTAATTTTAGTTCTGATCGCCAATAGAAAGGGAAGATCTAAGATTTATTACAACTGCAAGAAAAAAAAAGACTCAACTAAATTATAAAGGACTAAAACTGTTGTTTCTCCCCCCAAAATCGTCTGTTTCACAATTACATAAGCAGCCATTATTAAAGTTTTTTTAATAATAACCTACATGTATATTTGATGTGTTAAACATGATGGGGTTTTATTTTGGAATTTCCTACAAAGTTTTCAGATTTACAGTCAAAAAAGGATTTTGAAAATAAAAAAAAGTGTGGTACACTGATGTCCCTTGTCACTGAAGTACTTGAATAGTGAATGTTTGTAATTTTTGAGATGAGTGTTTTTCTGGATCGTAAATTAACAGGAAATGCACGTAAACCTTTGTTTTTGGTGTAAGATATTCAAGTGAGTAGGAGTTACACTGTGTATAAAAGAAGTAGGTTTTATTTTTGCTTGTCCGTGGCAGCGCAGAGTGATGGATCCTGGCGAGTGGAGAGCATTTTTATCCACCCCCTGACAAAGGCGGAGCCAGGGGGTGGCCAGTGATGGCCTTGACCACCATAGATTAACCTTCAGCCACCCCAAGTGCCACCCTAATAATTTGAGAAAACTATACTTTTAAACGATATAAAAACTAGAAAGCAAAGTTTCTTCAAATTATAGGAATGGCAGCTTAACATATTTATATATACTGTGGTGGCCATCTTGGATTTTAACATGGCAGTCCAATTTTTGATATGGAACTTTGTAACGCCTAGATGCAGCCACATACCAAAATAAAAGTTGGTATCTCATTTATTTTTCAAGTTATAGCACTCGCAACACGCATAGACAGACAAACGGAGGGTATTTCCAATTCCACCACTTTGCTCTACAACGGAGGACAAAAAATCCTGAGAACTTCACTTTCCTCATGAAAGTCTGATAATTGGGTGAAGTATTTCTACACATCAGGATCATTTCATCTTCACTCAGCGTCACTGAGACGCAGTGAGCACCAGCGTCTCACCTTTAACACGTTTCCTCTCTCTGCTGGAGGCAGACGCTCGGCCTCGTCCAGGTGGATCCGAGTCTGGTAGAGCCAGGTGCTGATGTGAGCCAAGTTTTCATCCAAGATTTCCACCTCGTTCTGGTGACTCTGCAAACGTAACATAAATAAAAACGCTCTAGTCAAATTTAAAACTCGACTCACTGTTTGTAAAATATAAAAAAATAAAACTTTGTAAAAATAAATAAATACAAGATAAACGTTTTAGTAATCATTTTAGGAAGAAAACGAACCTAGAAGTTTTAGATTTGGTTCAATTAACTTGAATATATGTTTTTACATTTGATATGCATCGTTTGTAATAATTCTCATCCAAGAATAATCTTACATAAAAGTCAAAGTTAACATTTTTGTTTGTTGCAAGTCGAGGCAAAGACGCAAGAAGAGAAAATCTGCCTACACTGAAAATAAGTCAATCAAAAGAAGTTGCTGTGCTCTTCATTAAATCTTGTTGTTTGCCCTCACCAGAACAGCGCTGAGCCAGTCTTCAGTCCAGGTGCGCACACGGCCCCAGGCTTCATTCAGGTCACAGAGTTTGTCCTCCAGCTGAGCCTCGCTGCCCTCCACCAGAGTCTGCAGACCTGCACTGATCTCCATCAGGTTGGACAGCTCCGCCTTCCGACGATCCGTCTCCTTCAGCAGACCCTGATTGACAGACGGATGTTTCAATGTTTTTATTCTCCGAATAACTCGAGTCAATCAATTCTTTATTTTTTGACTCCAGGTTGTCAGACCTTATTGTAATGTTTTAAAGTGGTGAATTAGGATTTCAGAAGAGATTCAAAAGCTGATTTTTTTTGTTGTTGTTGTTTTTGTGTACTTTGAATGCTTTTAACTCATTTCCACAATCACTGTTGAAATGATTTATTTTGTTGTTGTTTGTTAAGTCGCCTGATTTGACCTGTGAATCATTCAGGCATTAAAAAAAACTCCTAAACTCAGGAAAGAAACTGGTGCCGTGTCGACACAAACAACTCAAAGCATCAATCTGAAACTGGATATTTGGGCACTTTGTTACGAGGTGTCAAAAATATAATTCGTTCACACTTTTTGAGTTTGTTCTAAGAAAAAAAGATAACAGTCTGAAAAATAAAACTAGAATGAGACGTCTACTTGCATCATTCAGAAGTACAAAAAAAAAAAAGGTTGGAATGTTGCTCCACCTACTGGCAAGAAAGAAAAGTACTTTTCTGATAGTTGTTCCCAACCCTGGTCCCTGAGGAACACCTTCCTGCATGTTTCAGTTGTTTGTCTGCTCCAATACACCTCATTGAGTGGATTACTTCCTTAAGTTCAGTAGACGCCTGTTAATCACCCATTTATTCAATTCAAGTGTGTTGGAGCAGAAGAACAACTAAAACATGTTGGATGGTGTTCCTCAGGGACCAGGGTTGGGAACCACTGGTTTGCTAAATTACGAAAAGGTTTGTTCCATTAGAAAAATGCCACAATATTGGAAACATTCACAGCAGGTGAGGAAAGTCACCAGTAATCTAAGCTGATACTGATTTCCTATTTTCTAGATAGCGTTGACACATGGGGACAGCCACTCACGTTAGCCCATGCAACCTCAGCATCAATGTCAGCTGTCATGTCTCCACTGCTGATCTTCTGTTGCAGCTGGGCCTCGTGCGTGGTCAGCCAGTCCTGCAGAGCAGCGCTCTCTTTTTGGAACTTCTGAGACAAAGACAGAGCTTTCTCCAGGTCCTGCTTGCCCTCAGTGACCTGTGAAGACAAAGGGCAAGCCTTAAAGCTGATTTTTATGAAACAAGGAGAAATTATTGGCTTTAATAAAATAAAATAAAATAAAAAACTAAGTTGGTACCTGAGCCCCCAGGTTGTTGTAAAGCAGTTTGAGAGTAGTAAGCTGTTCATCCATAGCTTTGGGATTCTCCGTCTGCTGTTTCTGCACAATCTGACGTCCTGTTTTTATCACCGTCTCCACCTCGAGCTTCACCTCGCTCAGCAACTTATATAACTTCTATACAGCAAAAACAATATTTAAATATCCTGATGAGATTTCTGATTTATTTATTCAGGTAAACCATTACATTTTCTAATAAATGGCACAAACTGCATCAGTCTAGTACAGCTAGTTTTCAACAGTTTGTGTGCAACAGCGATTAAAAAGGCTCCCGTTCTCACCATACAACCAGAGAGATGGGACTTGATCTTTTCTGGTTCCAGATCTTTTGCATCCAGAACATGCAGCTCAGCTTTGGCACCTTCCAGGACCCTTCTACAGTCCAGCATGCGTTGCTCAAAGTTTGCAGGCTTCTGGAACAGCTGGTACTTAGTGGAGATCTCTCTCAGTTTCCTCTGTAAAGAGTAATGCAAAGTTTAGATTCATCATTAAAAAAGTATATATAAAGAAGCAAAACTGAATAATAATCTTGTATGTTTAAATAGAAGAAGTAGCTGGATGAGAAACTAGTTCCTGGTTTTGACCAATAGAAGGCAGTGTTACCTGCAGCTGATCCAGCATAGTCCCACCACGACCTGCTTTGCCTTCAGAGGTGGAAGGAGGCAAATTTACCACATTTTTTCTTTTCAGCTCTTCCATTGTCACTTCATGGGCTGCAATCTCTGCACCGATTGTCTGAAAGAAAAGTCAAAATGAATACATGTTGCCAAAATTTGATTTCCACAACCTGCCACATTGATTGAGTTGTCCAAATGTGTCAAATTCAAGTAAATAAGATTCTAAATTGGTAAGCATTAGATAATAATAATAATAATAATAATAATGTCATCACAATGTCAGCACTGTATGTTTCCATACAATGATGAAAATAAACTAGAGAAACTGCATTTCCTGTGAAAATGAAGTGTGAATGCTTATTGCAGAAGAACTTGCTGAAAAACAACTGAAGTTAGGTATAAAAAAAAAACATTTTGAAATGTAGCTGAAATGGAAGAAAAAGTCAAAATTAGCAGAAGAAAGCAGAAAGGACATATCTGCTGAATTAGGTTTAAATAGGCAGAAATGAGAACAAAAAAATTTGGGGGGAAAAAATTGAAATTGGCAAAAAAAAAAAAATAGCTGAAAAGGAAAAATGAAGCTTAACCTACGAGAAGGAAAAAGAAAGGGCTGAAATTAGCTAAAAAAAAATAATTTGGAATTAGCTGAAAAAGCAGAAATTTGCACACAAAAAATCCCTGAAAAGTAGCTAAAAAGCAGAAAGAAGCTTAAATTAGCAGAAGGAAGTAGAGAGCACATTTTTGCTGAATTAGGCTAAAAAGTAGAAATTAGTGCAAAAAAATATGGAATTAGATGAAAAAGCTAAAGTTAGCATAAAAACACCTAAATAGCTGAAATAGCAGAAAAAGCTGAAACTAGCTGAAATAAGCTGAAAGGAGCCAAACAAGCTGAAATTAGCAGAAAGAAGTTAGAAAAAGCACAACAATGTTGTAGTTAGCAGAATGAATCTGAAAGGAGCACAAAACAGATGAATAAACAGCTGAAATTAGTTGAAAGTATTTGATTTTATTTCGTTTGAACAAGGAAGCTGAAAGAAGCTGAAGCAGAACAAAACGTGAAAGCAGCAGTAAAAGGTTGTAAACAGATCTAAAGAGATGAAGGATGGAAAATGAGCTAAATTCATTTTCTATAAGGAAAAATGTGGCTGAAAAGGTCAAAAATTTTAAAAGGCTAAAGTCGCACCAATACCAAAAGTCATAGCACCCTTCTACTGAAAGAGCTGAACGTTTTGATTTGTTGAAATAGCACAAAAATCGTGGAACGAGAAAAATGTCGAAAAGAGGATGGAAGAAAAATGGATCACAATAGTGTGAATGCTTCATAAACGTTCAACACAGTAATTTTTATAGAATAAATCACTACTTTTTAAAGATCGTTTACGATGCTATTCCGGGACTTGTACCCACCTGCGCCTCCAGGGGGAGCTGAAACGCGTCTATGCGGTCAGTGAGGTAGGAGGTGAGCGTGTGGTCCAGCTGGGTCAGGGACTCCTGCAGGGTTTGGAGCTCCTGTTCGTTCACCTTCAGCGACTGCAGCTGCTGCTCGAGGCTGATCTGCCGGTTCACTGCCTGTTTATCGACACCATCAGTCATTTCAACCTGTCGTCTCGAGTTTCTATTTACTCAACTGTTCATTTCAAAGCAAATAACTGAACAAGAGTGACCATAGTGGCTGATCTAGAGCGTGTAATTAACCATAATACTCAGGAATGTAATACACCGTGATTTATTTTGAACGAATGAAAAATATTTCTACAAATGTGTCTGCATAAATAAAATCATGCATGAAAGCATACAAACTGAAGCAAGCACACTGTGAGAAAAAAGGTTTGCTGGAAAACAAAAAGCATCGCTTCACATGCACAAAGATGAAGAAGTTCTGACCTGCTGGTTGAGCTGCTCGGAGCGGGAGTTGAAGGCCGCGAGTTTTTCACTAATGAGTTCATCGAGAATGCCCCCGTCTATCAGAGTCTGACCCAGCTCGCTGATTTGTGTCCGGTTGTCCTTGGGGTGGCGGAGCACACTCTCAAAAGACTGATGGAAAGTTGAGAGGAAAAACGGGAACGGGCATGAAAACAAGATTCTTGAAAATGAACAGGAAATAATTCTTAAAAACACAACCGTAGCTAAATTTAAAATATATTTGATAAAGCTGCAACAAATCTGTCCTATTAAAGTTTTAGAATATAAACTTACAGTAGCAGGAATGAGACTAATGACTGAAAACCTGTCGACTATCGTAGAAGAAACACAAATCACCAGAAAGAAACAGGATCTGGTGAGAATAGACTGAATTTATGTGAATAAAAGAAAGAAAAACAGATGGAGATGAGATGTGTGTGTCAGAACGAAGCCAAAAAATATTCTGACTGAAAGAGAGACACGACCCAAATGACAGAAAGAGAGAAAGTGACAGCACATGTTTGGATCCCACAATGTTTACGTAAGTTCATTAAATGTTGCTTTTCCTTCCCGGAGGTAATGGACAGAAAGAGTGACAGCAATGCCCCCGTCCCACTCTTTAGAAGGGCAAGTCTGACGAAAATGGGAGGATGAGGGTGGGATGGAACGGGTTCAGGTTAGTGACGTGGTGAGAAAGACGCAGACTTGTTGGGGTAGGCAACAACAACAAAATTTAAAAAAAACATTTGATGAGAAGGACACAGATAAGGAGGAGAAACAGTCTTCAAGGGTCTTCAGTTCCTTTATCGTTGTGTGACGTTACAGAAACAGCAAAGTGATTAAAAGTGAATTTGACAGACGAGCTGCAGGCGCTCTACAGATATAGCAGCAGAGCAAAAGAAAAAAGAAATCTAGAAGACAAATCAAAGACTAATGATGCTGTTAACATGTCATGTTGTATGTAATTAATATACTAGTTTCTGGAATTTAACTTTTTCATGCAAGTTTAAGTTCAAATTATTTTACTTTGAATTTTGGGCATTAAATACTGTAGTTCTATCCTGTGAACGTTTATGAAGGATTCACACTATTGTGATCCATTGTTCTTCCGTACGGTTTTCAGTGCAATTCTTATCCCGCAGTTTTCAAACTATTTCAACAAATCATAAATCAAAACATTCAGCTCATTCAGGATAATCCTGCTATGATTTTTGGTATTGGTGCAACTTTAGCTTTTTGAAATATTTAGCCTTTTCTGAGAGTTTTTCCTCATAGAAAATGAACTGAGCTCATTTTACATCCTTCAAATCTTTACATCTGTTTACAACCTTGTACTGCTCCTTTCACATTTTGTTCTGGTTCAGCTTCTTTCAGCTTCCTTGTGAAAATGTACAGTTTTTTCAGCTACTTTCAGCTGTTTTTTCAGCTGTTTTGTGCTCCTTTTAGATTCATTCTGCTAACTACATTTTTGTGCTTCTTCTAACTTCTTTCTGCTAATTTCAGTTTATGTTCCGTTCAGTTTATTTATGCAAGATTCAGCCTTTACTTCTATTTCAGCTACTATTTAGCTGTTTTCATGCAAATTTTAGCTTTTCCACTAAATACCACACTTTTTCCATTCATTTCAACTTTTTTCAGCCTAATTCAGCAAAAATGTGCTCTCTCCATTTCATTCTTGTAATTTCAGCTTATTTCTGCTTTTTTTTTTTTTAGCTATTTTCTGTTTCTTGCTCATATCAGCTTTTTCAGATAATTTCCACTTTTTTGTGCTCATTTCTGCTTCTTTCTTCCCAATTGGACAAACATGTTCTTTCTGCTTTCTTCTGCTAATTTAAGATTGTTCTAACTTTTCAGCTAACTTTTTAGCATGTTTTAGCTAATTTCAGCTGTTTTCAGATAAATTCAAGTTTCCCATTGTAATTTCTGCTAAATTCAGCTTAATTAACTTATTTATGCTCAATTCAGCTTTTTTCTGTTAGATTCAGCATTTCTGCTATTTCAGCTAGTATTTAGCTGTTTTACGCTAATTTGAGTATTTCAGCTAATTCCACATTTTTGGAGCTCCTTTCAACTCTTATTGCTTCCTTCTGGTAGTTTAAGTTTCTTTCTGCGTTTTTTGCTACTTTCAGCTATTTCTTGCTAATTTAAGCATTTTTTTTTTTAGATAATTTCCTAATTTTTGTGCTCATTTCCTCTTATTTAAACCTAATTCAGCAAATATGTGTTCTTTCTCTTCTTGTGCTAAAGTAGGCTTAGTCTTCCACTTCAGCTACATTTCAGCATGTTTTTTTAGTTACTTTCAGCTATTTTTCAGCTAATTATTTGGCAATAAGCATTCACACTGCATTTTTGCAGAAAATGCAATTTCTCTAGTTTTCAACTCATAGAAAAGGGATTATACGCAATCATTTAATTAGAAAGACTATATTTAATTGATTGTATATATGTATCCTTTATTAAACCAGGAAAATAACTCATTGAGATTAAAAACCTCTTTTCCAAGATTGCAGGTAATTGTATTTCCATCCCATTGCTCTAGCTTCTAATAACTTCAACAAGTACTTCGTTTATACCTCGAGAGCCTCATTAACAACCTCAGGGTTCTCTGGCAGGTTTTCAGTGGTTTGCAGTTTCTCCTCCACAGAGTTGAGCCAGTTCTGCTCCAAGTCCAGGTACTGAAGCAGCTCCATCCAGCAGGACCAGACCTCCTGCACAGAACAACACCACTCTTTTTTTATACAAATACACCATCGTAAAAAGAGAAACATACTATAAAAATCAGACAGTATGTCCATCACAACAACAAAAAAAGGAAAAAATATAATCTAAGAAGAGGTGACTAAAAGACTTCTGACAGAGCAGACATGAGTAGAACAACAAAGTGACACGTATGACATGACTCTGCTGTGTTACCTCTGAAACAAACCAGACGGTTTATTTTTAAACTGCTTTCAATCCTTGCATAAAAATTAATGAGAAAGCCCAAGAAATGACACATCACATAAACCAAGAAGTCACCACATCAGCCACATACAGCTAAACTGAGCCACTGCTGCATAAATACTCCATTTAAGTTAAAGATCTTCAGCAGTTTTTGGACTGAAACAAGGTGATCCTAAATGCAGGCCCCAAGACTGATGAGTTCAGACTTACAAACCTGTGAAGGTCGTCTGCATTTTTTTTCTAAATATACATATTTAAAGTGAATCCAATGAATTTGATGAACAACTAATGTTTGTTTTATATTCAGTGCACAGATATTAACTACTTTTTCATAGAAACGTTACCTCCAGGGTGTGACATTTGCTCTTAAGACGGTCGCACAGCTTGTGATAGTTGGATAGGACCCTGTCAAGCTCCGAGGTCAGCTCCTGCCCGAAGCCTCCACCGGGGCGGGCTGTTTGGGACACCAGCAGGTTGATGTTGTCTTTCAGGATCTTCACCTTCACCTCTTTCTGAAACACATCCTCTTTCGCTCGCTGAAAGACATGAGGACATGTAACTGTCAACAGAAAGTGTATAGAGCTGCCCGACTGTGTGAAGCAGTCCAACTGCTGTGCTGCATACTTTGTGCTATTTTAGCCACTCTTATCTAAACATTCAGCTCATTCAGGAGATGGGAGCATTGACTATAGTTTATATAACTTTTATATTTTTCAAAATGTTTACTTTATTTATTTATTTTTTTACAAATAGTTTAACCACATTGAGCTCTCATAAATTCCAACAAAAACATTGTTCTATTTAAAAAGATCTGCTCTGTTTTTGTCTATAAGTTACATTAAGGATTTTAGCTAGTCTTTTGCTACTTTTAGATTTTAACTTGCCTTCTGCTACTACTACCATTCTGGAACAGTAAGCTTTTAGCAACTATATTAGCGTTTAATAAGTTGTTTGCTACTTTTAGTTAGCCTTTAGCGCCTTTGACCTTGTTTTTTTAGCCTTTTGCTACTTTTACTTTTTGTTCACCTTCTGCTACTTTTACCTTTTAGTAACTGTTTTGCAGGTTTTAGTTAGCATTTTCCTACTTTTACTATTAAGCTTATATTTGGCTTTTTCCATATTAAGGTACATTTTGCAACTTTTAGTTTTTAGCTAGAGTTTTCTTTATTTTAGTTTTTTGGCTAGCATTTTCCTCCTTTTAAGTTTTAGCTAGCATGTTGCTCCGATTAGCTTTAAGCTAACAATTTGCTCCTTTTAGCCAGCGTTTTGTTCCTTTTAACTTTTAGCTAGTGTTCTACTTTTTTTAATTTTCAAATTAGATTTAGCGTCTTCAGCACATTTCAGCTGTCATTCAGAGCTCACACTGCATGTTCATAAAAACGTAAATTCCTACGGTTTCATTTTGCAGTTGTCTTATTTCATAGCATCTCCACCTTCATCTCCTCCAGCGATGCTTCCAAGTCCTCGGGACTTTTGTACTCAAAGTCTCTCATGAGAAACTCTTCGTCGACTTGGGCGATCCACTCCTGCATCTCAGCCAGGTCCTTCTTCAGATTCTCCTGCTTCTCTTGACTCTCGGTCACATGTTCCTGATAGCTCAGGAGCTGGAGGAAAACCGATTAGTCAAAATGGAGAAATAAATACCAGAATAATTTCTGAACACGTTTAGACCTGGCATCAAATCTACCCTTGAGTGAATTACATATAGACTGCAAAACCCAAACTCAGATACACTCCAGTAACTAATTACTGGAGTGTATCTGCAACTCCTATAAACAGACACTGAGACAAGAAAATGCAATCAAACATTAATTAAATCAAAATGTACATGACAAAGTTCGGAGCACCTGTTTGCTAAATTTAGCAAATCTTCCTTCAAGTTCTTCTAACTTATCCTTCCCCCACTTGGCCAATCCTGGAACTGCAGCCGCCTGCACAGCATATACATTTTCTTCCATCTGCTTCAACGAACGATCCACAAACTCCATCTTGTTCACATACTCCTAGTTCAAAAAAGAAGAAGAAGAAAAACTTTAGGTGAAAACCTAAAGCTGTAAATTCAAACCCGTAATTGCCAACTAAAAGATTCAATGCTTTGAACTTTATGACCTCTCGATGTGGAATTGAAGACTGTAACCACTGAAGTATCCATCTTTTTTCTATGTATGGGAGAGAAACTACCGCAGCAACAAAAAATAGAAAAGGACGACAATAAAGCTAAGTGTTTTGTTTAGTTTGTACGTGGAACAACAAAAAGATGGAAGTGCAAAATGTTGCAAAGGAGGTATCTGCAGATGCAAAAATCTAATATCCAGTATTATAAAACAACTTCTACTGTTTAAAAAAAATGTTTGATTAAGACTGCAAATTTATCAAAATTACACACTACATACTTTGCAATATATTGTGGATATTTAAGTACAGTTAATCGGGGTTCATTTTTGTCACCTTGCACTTATTAAGATCATCTTGAAGATTATGTGCATCTCCCAACCCCGCAGTGTCCCGAGACAACAGCTCCTGAACCTCATCCAACCAAGATTCCACTTTTTCCAAACGCACCTAAACACATCGCAAAAACAGACATGAGCTATATGAACATCATTCATCCTAAATGAGCAGCAGCGTTCCAGTAATAGCTACCTGATTGTCCTTCATGCTGCCCAGAATGCATTGCAGCGTGCTGTGCTCCTCACGGGTTCTGGATGAGAGATCGCTCCATTTCTGTAGCTCGACGGGATCAGAGGCTTGTTGAGTTTGCTCGATGTCCAGACACAGGCCCTGAGGTCAGAGGGAGTTCAGGCTCAGGGCGGTGTGTAACAGCTAAACTCAGAAACTTTTGTAATAGTTTTGAAAGTTGCACTTGCTAATAAACAAAAACTGTAACTAAAAGAAAAGCTTTGTGCGCTAATTCTGGATTTATCCCATCTAATATCTGATCTTCTTCACCTTTTACTGGATTAAACACAACCTCTCCTCCTCCACCATAACCCTCAGCACTGGCTCTCCTCAGGGATGTGTGTTGAGCCCCCTCCTGTTTACTCTGCTCACATATGATTGTGCAGCTACCCATCCAGGCTGTCACATTGTAAAGTTTGCAGATGATACAGCGGTGGTGGGATGCATCACAAACAATGATGAGTCCAGCTACAGGCAGGAGGTGGAACACCTGGAGAGCTGGTGCAGAGAGAATAACCTTCACATCAATGTGAAGAAGACAAAGGAGATGATTGTGGACTTCAGAAGGAACAAAAACACCTACACCCCCCTGAACATAAGAGGATCTGCGGTGGAAGTGGTCTCCAGCTACAAGTACTTGGGTGTACACATGAATGACAACCTCAGCTGGAGCAACAACACCACCAGCCTGATCAAGAAAGCTCATCAGAGACTCTACTTCCTCAGACGGCTGAGGCGAGCTGGTCTGGGAAGCTCAGTCCTCACCTCCTTCTACAGGTGTGCAGTGGAGAGCATCCTGTGCTC